TCTGAGCGTGTCTGAGGTTGGCTAGGCTAAGCCACGATGTTCAGTAGGTTAGGCTTATTAAGTCCATTTTTTAAAAAATATTTTTTATGTATTTATTAGAGAGAGAGATCACAAGAAGGTAGAGAGGTGGGCAGAGAGAGAGGGGAAGCAGGCTCCCTGCCAAGCAGAGAGCCTGAAGCGGGGCTCAATTCCAGGACCCTGGGATCATGACCTGAGCCGAAGGCGGAGGCTTTAACCCACTGAGCCACCCAGGCGCCCCTATTAAGTCCATTTTTGACTTCATGTTATTTTCAACTTACAATGGGTTTATCAGGACAAAACCCCATCATAAGCCAAGGAAGATCTGTATTATGGCTTTATATATTTTGATGTCGTATAAATTAACTTATCCCCTCATTCATTTTTCTTCTTGTTCAAACTTGCCCTGACTTCATTCTTCAAATGAATTTTAGAATATACTTGCCACTTTTCTCAACCTTTTGGGGTTGTAATTGTATTCTCTTAATAAATCATGTTGGTGAAAACCCCTACCTTTAAAATATTGATTCTTGAGGTGCCTGGGTGGCTCAGTGGGTTAAGCCTCTGCCTTTGGCTCAGGTCATGATCCCAGGCTCCTGGGATCAAGCCCCACATCGGGCTCTCTGCTCAGCAGGGAGCCTGCTTCCCTTCCTCTCTGTCTGCCTGCCTCTCTGCCTGCTTGTGATCTCTCTCTCTCTCTGTCAAATAAATAAATAAAATCTTTTAAAAAAATATATTGATTCTTCCCATCCAGGAATGTGATATAGCTATTTTCAGATCTTCTTTTATGTCCCTTAATGAAGTTTTTTAGGTTTCTTCAGAAGGTCTTGAATGTTTGTCATAAAGTTTATCCTTAGACATTATGAGGTTTAAATGTTAATGAAATCTTTCGGTTTTTCCTGTTACTCTTTTAACTGATGAATGTTGGTGTGTAAGAAGTATGTTTTATAGGAAATCTATTGAGTAGTATACATTGATTTAGTATATGGCACCTTCCAAAACTCTTTTATTAATTCTAATCATTTTTTAGTTGACTCAGTTCTGTGTAGATCATTTCATCTACAAACAGCTTTAGTTTTCTGTCTTCCTACCCTGTACCTCTTAGGTCTTTTGCTTGTCCTATTTCATAGGTGAGGGCCTCCAGCAAAATGTGAAAGAATAGTTGTGGTAAAGAGGTGCCTGGGTGACTCAGCTGGCTAAGCATCAGACTCTTGGTTTTGGCTCAGGTCATGATCTCAGGGTGGTGAGATGGAGCCCCGCGTTGGGCTCAGTGCAGAGTCTGCTTGAGATTCTGTCCCTCTCCCTCTTCCCCTGCCCTCTGCTCATGCTCAGTCTGTCTCTAGGAAATAAATAAATATTTTTTTAAAATAGTTGTAATAAAATTATCGGCACTATTAATGATGCTTCCTCAGAGGACGCTAAGTAGGATATTTGCTTTGGGATTATGGTAGCTAAACTTTATTAACTTAAAAATGTTTCTTGCTATTTCTAGCCTGCTAAGGATTGCTAGGAAGAGGTATACTGATGTACTAATGGTTTTTTAGGATTCACTGAGATACTCATTTATTTTTCTAATAGGGCAATGTTGAGAAGTACATGAACAGATCTCCTAATGTTTAGCCATCTTTATGTTCCTGGGATAAATTTATTTGGTCATGATGTACTAGTCTTACAATCGAATGTTGAATATGTAATATACATTCCTGACAGATTTTGCTCTAAACTTCTAATATAGGGGCACCTGGCTGGCTTAGTCATAAAGCATGCAACTTTTGATCTTGGAGTTGAAAACCAATATAAGTTGGTATTTAGAGCCATTTATCATTAAATTTGCTGAAATGCGTTTGTACCAAATATTAGGTAAATGTGGCTTTTTTTTTTTTTTTTTTTTTTTTTTTTTGACAGATCACAAGTAGGCAGAGAAGCAGGCTCCCTGCTAAGCAAAGAGCCCGATGCGGGGCTCGATCCCAGGACCCTGAGATCATGACCTGAGCCAAAGGCAGAGGCTTAACCCACTGAGCCACGCAGGTGCCCCTAAATGTGGCATTTTTAGTATAAGGATTTTATACCCATATTCTAGCAGAATTTTATTATTTTGCTGATGTAAATGTTTTGCTTCTATTAGCAGATACTAACTGTTCAGTGTCTTACATAGGTATTCACCATGTATTTTTATTAAGGTTCTGAGAAGAAATCTAGCTAGCTTGCCTCAGAGGGTAGATTCAGTCTAAAAGTTGTATAGGAACAACACGATAATACATTTGCCATGGTCTCTGTAGCACTATTCTTTTCTCCCCTTCTTAGGGGTTACTCACAGAACTTGGATAGAAATTTAGCTCTTCTAATTATCAGCTAGTAATTTCATAGTATTTATTTCCTCTGAGCCTCAATTATGCCTCTGTAATCATTGAAATAATAACAGTCCCACTTATGGCTGAGCTGATAGATCCTCCAGAGCACACCCATACATTGAGAGCTTACATAGATTTTCAGCAAGGCAAAATTAAAGTACACACTGCTATTAGTAGAATACAACAAATATTGTTATTAATATTCACATTAATGCATTTAATTATACATTATGTGATAAGATAATTTTATAATAATGTAATTAATATTAGTAGAATCCAAAAATTAGTAGAATGCAACAAATAGGCTTCACTTGGACCATCTGTCAGATCTTCAAGGATCCACACATTTCTGCCTTTTAAGGTGAGCCATGCCAGACAAAAAGGTATATGCCAAGCTATCAGCAGGCTTTGGGGAAAGGAAGGTATAGAAAGCATTTTAAAAGCTCAGTCAGGGGCCAGCTGGGTGGCTCAGTCAGTGAAGCACCTGCCTTCAGCTCAGGTCATGATCCCAGGGTCCTGGGATGGAGCCCTATATCGGGCTCCCTGCTCAGAGGGGAGTCTGCTTCTCTCTTTTCCCTGCCCCTGCTCTCTCCCTGTCTCTCTCTCTCTCTCTCTCTATCACTCTAATAAATAAAATCTTTTTAAAAAATTAAAAATAAAAGCTAATCAGCAATCACTAGTGAGAGGACTTTATGATTATATAGTCCTGTGTTACATTACCCACTGAGAATTTTTTTTTTTTTTAAAGACTTTATTTTTAATCTCTGCACACAATATGGGGCTCCAATCCCAAGGTCAAGAGTCATATGCTCCACCGACAGAGCCAGCCAGGCACACCTAACCACTGAGACTTCTAACAAGTTGTTTCAACCAATCTGGAAATTGTTTTTGGTCTTCTGCCATCAGCAGCCATTACTATTTTATTTTATTTACTTTTTAAACTTTAAGACTCATTTTTTAATTTTAATTTTAATTTTAAAATTTTATTTTATTTTTTTAAGTAATCTCTGCTCCCAGTGTGAGGCTCAAACTGATGACACTGAGATCAAGAGTTGTGCCCTCTTCTGACCCAGCCAGCCGGGAGCCTCCATTATTATTCTAACAATAAAATACAGGAGCACTTCTCCTTAGTCCTTTCCAGTCCTACTGCAGGTAACACTTCCTCGTGGGGTTATTAGAAAGCTTAGTACTGAAACATGCTTGTAACAGTATCTGCTATAGTAACTGCTGCATTCTACTGTTTTTGTAAAAATGGAATATTCTAATGCTTCTATAAAGCTTTCAGGAAAAATGTGCAGGCAACACGCCAAGCAGGGGATTAAAAAAAATTTTTTTTTTTAAGCTACACTCTGAGCAGTAGAAAAGAGGAACGAGGGGGCGGTCTGGTTACAGAGCACAGCTCTCTGCTGAGGCAGGGATTTTTGAGTGGCAGATCCTGGAGTTGCAAGTGTGTGGGCAAGGAGGATGGGTCTTCAGACGAGGCTAAGGTAAGAAGGTTCTGCGGGTCCGCATCAGGCAAGTTCTTAAAGCAAAGGACGGGATTCCTCCTCTTCTCCAGGATTTAGGGGCTCAGCGTCAACTTTAGAGTTGACCAAGTTCTAATGTCCCCTGGCTCAAGAGCAAACTGAGAAGCAGCTGTGCGCCTGCAGCCCCAAAGCTCACTGGCCCACAAGTCACCTCCAAATTTTTGTTCTGCTCTAAGCTCTGACCTAAGGAAGAAAATGAAGAGTTTACAAAGGTAACCTGATCAAGTTTCCTCAATTGGGACACTTCATCTTTTAGGTTAACTTTCGGGTTATTTGGTCCTGGCCTGACATTTGGAAGAAAAAGAAAATAGATCTTAAAAATGAATTCCATAGATAGTAAAAATCTCTGTGAAAAACTAAAGCTATAAAACCTTAATGTGGACAAAGTCTTCTAATTACAGTATACAGTTAAAACACGCAGCTACTCAGAGGCAGCATTTTAAAAAACTGGAGCCCAAGCCAGAGTGTGCGTCTCCGGGACCCGCTGACGTTCGGGTTCTGTATTACAAACACCATGCCCAGCTCTGTCGGTCAACTGAGAACGAGACGCCGACCCTGGACTCAAAGGCAAATAGAAAAGTCTTGGTACAAGTTGGAGGGTTCACTGCTGTTAATGCCAGCCGAGAGTTAAAAGACGAAAATCCTAATCTCGGGAAGAGAAGGCGTTCCATGCTTTTCAGCTCCCCGCCGTCCTGCAAATCGCTCAGGCTAGCGTCTGGCGAAATGCAAACGCAGCGCCCGCCAGCGCCCGCCGGCGCCCGAAGGCCATGGAGCGCCCGGGTGCGGCCGGGCCCCCGGCGCCTGGCGCGGAGGCGCGCACACCCCTTTTCTGCAGACTCACAGGTTTTCAGGCCCCGCCTCCTCCGGGCCCAGCTCCGCTCCGCCACCCCGTGGGCCCCGACCCAGGGGTCAGCAGACCCGCGCCCTCCGCCGCCGCGCCCCCGGCACCCGCCCTAAGCCCCTCGGGAGCGCGGCGCGCGGCGGGGGCGGGGGCGGCGGCGGCGCCTCCCGTCCGCGCGGCGCAGCGTCTGGGTCCCGGGGGCGCAGGGCAGGGAGGCGGGGCGCTCGGCCGGGGGCGGAGCTGCGGCCGCGAGCCCGTCCCCCGCTCGTCCTCCGCCGGCCGGCTGGAGCGGCCATGGAGGTCTACATCCCGTCCTTTCGCTACGAGGAGAGCGACCTGGAGCGGGGATACACGGTAGGCGCGAGCCGCGGCCGGACAGGGCCCCCGAGGCGGGACCGCGGCTGCTGAGCGCGGAGGTGTCCCCGGCCGCCGCCGGCCCTGCGCGGGGTGTCCCCTGGCTGCCCTCCCTTCCGCGGGGCCTGAGGCTGGGCTGCGCCCCGGCGCGGTTGTCAGGGAGACGCCCCCCACCCCCCATCTGCCCCTCGCCAGAGCTCGGCGGCCGCGGGCGCCCGGGGCTCCTCCGGTTCGCTCCCTTCCCCCTCCCGGCCCCGCTCCCGGCCTCAGGGCAGCAGCGGCGGGACTCAAGCCCCGGCTCGCAACGTTCGCCGTTCTCCCCGCCGCCGGCCCTCTGCAGCCCGGGGTGGGCTGCGTCCGCGTCTGGCCCAGCTGCCCCCGCTGCCCACGCTGCCCAGGCAGGAGTGGCCGCGCCGCGCATTGATGTTGGCTTCCAAGTTCTGTGGGATTCATTCAGATGGAAAACATGCTAATCAAAAAAAAAAAAAAAAAAAAATCGTCATTTGCAGCTCTTTATTAGCCAGAGTGAACACATGCGTTGCTTTGAGATGGCTTCCAAAGTTGTTTTTTTTTTTTTTCCTAGTTCTGGTGGGCCATGAAAGGACATAATCAGCTACTTACTGCACACCTGTTCCATACCTAAGCGGGATCCCTGAGAACTGAGAAACAGGGCCCCTGATCTCCAGAGTGGAAGAGATGGTCGGGAGGGTGAAGACCAGGGCCTGAGACCTTTGCATGAGTTAGCAAGTAAACCGTAGGTAGTTGGTTTCCTCCTGAACTTAGACACCTTCATCTAGACGGTTATTGCCAGAGGGAGAAATGCCTCACCCGGGCTCGACCTCGGAAGAATCTGTTTCCAGTTGTTAAAGACCAGGTAGGCGGAGAAGATTGCAGAGGGCAGTCTGAAAGGACTGATGGAATATTCATTTCGAACTCACTCACTTGCTAAACAGCAGTTCTATTAGATGGGCAGAGTATTTTAACCTTTCTTTTCCCTAACTATTCGAAGGTTTTGGTGACAGCCTGTTTGGAACCTTCCGTGTTTTCATAGGGAGAATTAAATCTCCCTATTTTTTAGAATTAAGAGTGGTGATTGAAAAAAAAAAATCCAGGGAGTATGTGGATTTTTAGGATTAAGTAGACCTCTGGGTTCAAGTGTTCAAGTGTCCTAAGAGAAGTACTGAATGCCTTCCTTTGGGGTGGAGACTGGGGCGGTGGGGAGGGGCGGGCAGCTGAGCTCTGTTTGGCCATTATTTATATAAGTTTTATATAAATAACTCTTCCCGATGAATTAATAGTTGGTTAAACATTCTGCATCTTCCTTAAAAAGAGGGAGAATTGAACTTAAATTTGAACCTGTGCGAGGCCTTTTCCTTAAAGCCTTGAAACCTTGCTTGTCTTTCATTAGTCCAGGTGTGTCAGCCCCACCCCTCCCCACCCCCATCAGCATCAGCAGCCTAGGAGGGCCTGCTGTCTTTGGGGCATTCTTTAGGATCTGAAGATTACAGCCTGCTTGTTTAGTCTTTTGATGTGTTTAGATGAAGGTGGTCTCAGTCCAAACTAAAAGTTACTTACCTCCACAAATAAGGACTTTGAAGTAGATCAGAATTAAGGCTTTTGGGCCATTACTGGTTATTCTTTTCTTACAGGATCTGTGTTTTCCCACACTATTTTCCAGTATCTTTTGATTACTTGTATTACGACCAGGCGTGTGCCGGCTTGTGACTTAAATTGATTTGGAAGGAGCCCTTTTCTTGGCAACCGTGGCAGTCTGGAGATTGCTTATATGATGAAATATTGTGTGCTTTGTAAAAACTTACTTTTTAAAAAAATCCTAACTCATTTAGATTGATAACCATACTGTCGAGATACCTCTGCAAGTGATTTTTTTCCTATGTGAGTCAATGAAGCAGCTGTTGGATACCTTGTTCCCTTTGAGCAGCTGTTTTATAATTGCACAATAGAAGACTATACTTTTGGGGATCATTTTCTTTCGGGGATCATTACTATAGTTTGTTATAATTGCACAGCAGTTATTCATTTAGTAAATATTAACTAAGTGCCTGCTTGGTGTCTGTATTCTAGATCCTAGGAATTTAGCGGTGAATAACATTTCGTCTTTTTAAAAAACCCTTAGAATTTACAAATATAATCTCAGTTTTCTGAACAAGAAACTGGTGAAATAATGTATACTTCAGAGTAAAAAGCATCTTTTTTCTAAGGTGATTATGTGTATTTAAGAATATGTAAGGAATATTGCATTAGAGCAAATTCAGTGATTGGAGGCTTATAGTAAAGAAGTGTGGTTCTTCCTTGCTTCTAGTCCCATGCCCTCAAAGCATAGAACATGGGGTTGCATTCTTAGAGACTTTTCTGTATGCCATGAAAACATATGGGTTTCTTTCTTAGAATAAATTGTAAGATTTGACTATAACTGTCATCCTGCAACATGAATATCTTTCTGTACTGATATGGATAGGTCTGTCTCCTAGCTACTAGCAAGGGGATCTTCCTCATAAGGAACATGCCATCATTTGTTTCCCCAGATCCTGTTGCTGGCCACTAACACTTGCTTCTAATTTTTAGCAACTGTGTCAGAGATGTTGAAATGAGACATCCCTATACATGGCTTTTTTTTTTTTTTAAATGCCTATGGCTAGGATTTTTGTAGAGCCTTAACTAGAATTGGTACTTCTGCGCCTCTGAAAGTTTTCATGGGTAATGCTCAGTTGTTACTCAAGAAGTTTATACAAAGTTATGCCCAATGTATAAGGTAATTTACCTTTAAATAATGAATTTTTGCCTTTTGAACCCTTAAACATTGACTGTGGGCTTGTGGGATGTCGGGTGTGGAATTGAAAGGTAAATGGATGTTGCTTCTGTCCTTAGAATTCTCAGCCAGCAGGGGCAAGGTAGGGACGGGCTAGGGTGCCCTGGTGTTTTCTGGCAGTCTTGAGGAGGAAGAGGGCATTTCTGCACTGCCTGGAGGTCATGTGTGGTGTGGGGTTGGGGGTTGCTTAGGAATGCTGACTTTTGAAATCTGGCTAGGTTTTTGCTGGCACTGTGAATTCTAGAAGGAGGAAGTGTAACACAAGATCTCATCTCAGGGGAAAGGCATTTTAAACTACCAGATTCATCAGAACTAAAAAAGAAAGAAAGAAAGGTGAGGGGGGAACCCTTCTAAATCATCTTAATTTATAAAGAATCAGGAAAGGATCTGCTACCGAAATTCACATGAACTCAGATGTACTTCATGGGAAGGTTATTCTCTACCGCCCTCTGTCCCCATAGCTTAGATGTTTACTGTCTGTTTCCCAGCTAGGCTCTAAACTCCTTGAGACTGGCACAGTGTCGGTTTCTACTTCTGTACTCCAGCGCAAGGGTCTATCCCATAGTAAGAATTCAGCACTTGTGTGATGAATAAATAATGAATGCATGAGTCTTCTAATAGGAGAAGGAAACCCAAAGAGCAGTGATTATGAAGCATGAAGCAGCTCGGTGGGTAGAAAGGGGTCTGGGTGCAGACTGGAGTTTCCAGTAGCAGAAGGATTGTGCAGACACTTGACAGAGGGAGGTGGAGAGAGATCAGCTCGCCAGCCTGAAGAGCTGGAAAGGAGTATGGACTTCAGCCACAGACATTGGGTTTGAGGAAGGAAGTAACATGATGAGCTTTGCATTTAGAAAGATGACCCTGGAGTTTTAATCATTTAAGGGATGGTAGCAGAAGGAGAGAGAAGGTGTGAGCTGGAACTAAGGCAACTGTGAAAGGAAGATGACAAGAATCTCTAGGATCTGGTGACCAGACGTGAGACAGGAATGTGACTCCCCTGGGTGCGAGCGCCATTGGCTGACTCAGAACTGAAGCAAGGGGGAGATTTCATGTGGGGACCTGTTGTGTTTTTTGTGATTGGTGAGGCTGTTTGATTTTGAAGCTCAGGATAGAGGTCTGGGGAAGGAATATGGCTCTAGAGGGTCCTTCAGCACAAAGGATGAGAAAAGTGTAGCAGTTAATGCTATTCCCAGGAGGAGAATGTAGAGTGAAGAAAGATGATGGACTTAAGGTAAAATCCCACACTTTGCCTGAGCAAAGAATTCTCAGCACTGCGTGCTGAGGGAGAGGAGAGAAGGACAAAGGACGAAGGATGGGCAGGGTGAAAAGTGGGAAGACAGAATGGTAGATGCTTTACAGTAAGGAAAGGGCTGGATGTAGCTGAGTGGTCTTGTAAGGTGACGATGGAGAACAGTCCGTTGGATGTGAGAGTAAGTGGGTCTGGGGTGTGAATATAGGCTAGTATTTTCAATTTTCAGATACATTTTTGGGAAATAACAAAAATAGGATTACTACCTAGGTTGCAACAGAAAAGTTTGAATGTATTAGATTTCACTATTTTATAGCTGTAAAAATCAAGGCATTGAATTAGATGGTTTTTCAAGTTCATTTTAACTGTCTGTGACTCTGTTATGGTTATACAAATATGTCTTTTTCTTGTATTCCGGTCTCTTTGATTTACTTGATGTATCATGCTTTTCACTATGTAGGGCAGCTTCATATTTACATGATCATAATGCTGAGACATATGCAGGGATCATTGCTTTAATATTTTATGGATTAAAATACAAAAATCGAACAATACAAGGAACCATTTACCAATTCCTCATCTTCAGTCTTTTAAATTATTACTTCATTTATCACCCCTTATTCTTCCACTTTTTAGGAATATTTTGGGGCACCTGGGTGGCTCAGTGGGTAAAAGCCTCTGCCTTCCGCTCAGACCATGATCCCAGAGTCCTGGGATCAAGCCCCACAGCGTCCTGCTCTCTGCTCAGTGGGGAGCCTGCTTCCCTTTCTCTCTCTCTCCCCTGCCTCTTTCTCCCTTTCTCTTCCCTGCCTCTCTGCCTACTTGTGATCTCTGCCTGTCAAATAAATAAATAAAATCGTTAGAAAAAAAAAATTCGGAATATTTTGAAACAAACCCAGGACATAATTTCACCTGTAACTG